GATCCCGGCACCACATACTGAGCCGGCCACAGATGAGTCCATTGCAGTATGACTTGGTTCCAGATACGGATGAGGAGGAGGATGAAAAGCAGGAAGGTTTGGAGGACATTGATGAAGCTGGGGGGGGGGGGGTGAGGACATAGGTGACGATGAAAGGGAGGAGGATCTAATGAAAGGACAAAGGAGAAGATGACTAACTGTATACTATCATATTTCAACCTTCTTGTTTTTCTTTTTCTTTTTTTCATTTTCTCCAGTCTCTGGGAGCAAGTTACAGTCTCCCCCCACCTCGTGTTCATTCATCTTGTTCTTGAGATCTCTAGTCTCAAATACCATGGTTAACTTACATTGTGGAGAGAAACCTTGAACCGAATACAGGAAAAAGGATCTCCACAGCTTTCTGTTCTCAGTTTATTTCTATTCCATCCTGTCTCTACAAACGTTTTGGATTTAACACCACGGTGCTCTGTGGGGAAAAAAGAAAACTCTCCACTCTCTTCCCTCTGCTAGAAGCTGGAGGGTGCCCTGCCCTTGGGTAGTAGTGCATATAGAATTCTCGCTTTTTTCCTCTCTCTATATTGGGCTCAGAGATACACTGTGTCTCTGTGTGAATATGGACAGTTAACATTTATCAAGATGTACCTGTCTACTTGTTTAAAAAACTTTTTTTAAAATGGAGTACAGAAGGGCAGCAGAGGGTAGATTTGAGATGTGTGGGTGGGTTAAGCAGGCATTTAACAACATGGCTTCTCCTGTGGCATGTTTTATTGTGATGTAAACAGACATCCTTGGAGTTTAAGATGACACTTTTAAAATAAAATTTTCTCCTAATGAAGACTTGAACCCTGCCACTCAATGGAAGAATCAGCAGAACCTGTAGGATCTTATTTGGAACTGACAACTGACATTCTCTATTGAAATTTTGCTGTTTTTTGTTTTTTTTTTAATTTTGTTTTCACTGGAAAGGAAAAAGTGGTGCACAGTTTTTTGTTTTTTGTTGTTTTTCTTTTTATGCACAGTTTTAAACTGTGTAAGTTGCTTTGTTACAGTAAAACTGCATGTACACATACAAAAAAGTGGATTGGCTATACTAATGCAAAATAGACTTTAAGCTAAAAATTATTACTACAAACATATGCAAATATGCATGTCTATGTGATTTATCATAGTAAAAAAGAAACAATTTAAATGTCAATCAAATGAAAAGTAGATCAAGTGGTATCTGTACAGTGAGATAGTACTTTTTCACAAAAAGTAAATACATAATATGAGAATATTAAGTGAAAGGAGGCAAAAATTACATTTGAATTTATGAGAAATGGTCAGAATATTGAAATCAGAAAGTTGCTTAGAACTTGGAGTGTGCAAAATGGGAATGGCAATTGCTGATGAAGCTCATTTTAAACAATTAAAAATATTCTGAAATTACATTGGTTGGCCAGCCATGATACCACATGCTTGTAATCCCAACACTGGGGAAACTGAGGCAAAAAGGGTTATGTGAGGTTGAGACCATTCTGGGCTACAATGTAAGCTCAAGGTCAGCCTGAACTACATAGTGGGACCCTGTCTCAAAATGACAAAAAATAAGGGCCAGCCAGATAGCTCAACGGATTAAAGTGCCTGCTTAGGCAAATGCAGGGACAGGGGTTCGATCCTCAGCCTGGCATGCTGGCCCGGCCCCCGGGGCCCACTGAGATGGTGAATAAGATGGCATGGTGGTATGCACCTGGAATCCCAGCACTGGGAAGGCTGAAACTTCATATTATTAGAGCTGGGGCCTAGATGTGACTGATTATGACAGCACTGATGTCATCAACAGACTGATCTAGTGATGAGTTTCTAGCAGGAGGATCACTGAGTCCAAACTACATAGGAAGACCCTGTATCAACAAAACAAAGCAAAAATTAAAATAACAAAAACAAAAGCAACTCGTGTATTTTGCCCCCAGACTAAACTAAGAGATAACATTCTAAGCATTTGACAACAAGAATTCTCTTCCATGTAAGGCTATACATGTAGACTAGTTGAAAAAGATCAATTCAGGAATGAACTCACATCTGTGCCACTTGAGCAAGGTTGGGGTTCAGTCCCCAGAGAGCCGTGCCGGCCCCGCCCCAGGGCACACTGAGACAGTGATTGAGACTGGGCAAGGTGGCATGCACCCGTAATCCCAGTGCTTGGGAGACTGAAAACAGGAGAATCACTAGGTGTCTGATCCATGTTGAGAGACTCTGTAAACCCTGTAGGCCCTGTCATAAATTCATTAAAAAAAAAAAAAAAAAAAAAAGATAGAGACAAGGTCTCACATGTAGCATGAGTGGCCTTAAACTCTCCAACTTGTGCTGCTTCTGCCTTAGCCTCCCAAGTCCTGGGATAAAAAAAAAATACTTTTTTTTAAGGAAAAAAAAGTTGAAGTCCTGTTTTCTACTTTAAGGAAATATGAATAGGTGGGAAATAGACTGAGGACATGAATTTTACCCACAGACTATTCAGGAGTCTGGTTAACAGATAAGATTTGAATGTTGAATTTAATTTCACTGATGTTTTCATGTTCCTTTTACTTTTTTTTTTTCTTTTTGAGACAGGGTCTCACTATGCAGTTCAGGCTGGCCTTGAACTCACTTTGTAGTCCAAGCTGGTCTCAAACTCCCAACAATCCTCTTGTTTCAGCCTCCTGAGTACTAGGATTAACAGGCATGTACTACCATACCTGGCTTCCATATTCTGTAGTTTGAGCATTTGAAATTGAGAATAATGTACTGGAACTCTGCTAAAAATGTAAATTCTGAATTTTATTAAAGATATTAGTTAGGTTTTATTAAATTGAATATATGCTATTTATACATTGCAGACAAGCATGTTTTGTTGGGGGTTTTTTTGTCTCTACTCTGTTGATTTTTTTAAAAGAGAGTACAAATTAGAATTAAAACAAAACTTAAAAGTGATACAGAATTTTACTTAACAAAGTAGTATGAATTTCACAGTATTTGTTGTAATACATACTGTTGTCTTCCAACCAATTATTCATATTACTAGCTATATGCATGTAAAATTGAACAAGAAAGAAATGTGCTAGATATTAAAAGTACAAAGAAAAAAAAGGACATGAAGCAAATGAAAGCATTAACGCTTCTTTCAATAGATCACCAAAAATGCACAGTACAGTTATCCAAACCACCCTGCTTACATGCATAATAAATTTCTTTCCCCCACTCCCTCTCCAGTCCTTCTCATCTCAGTAACTCTTTCCTTTTGAATAAGTTCATTCCTTTTTCCCAGTATGTATTGTACCGTTCACCCCCAGTGCCCTACCAGCCCCACCCCCAGGGCATACTGAGGCAATAATTGAGACTGGGTGTGGTGGCACACACCTGTAATCCTAGCTGCTTGGGAGGCTGAGACAGGAGGATCACTATGAGTCCAATATGTGTAGTGAGAACCTGTAGACCCTGTACTAAATACATAAAAAAATAAAATATTGTACCCTTCTGATTCCTTTTTTCTTTTTCAGGTTCTCATGCAAAGGAGACAATACAATGTTTGCACATGTGGGTTTGATTTATTTTACTTAAGAGTATATTCTCTAGTTGCACCCATTTACTGACAAAAGACTCAAATTTATCCTTTTTTTTTTAGCAGAATAATACTCCATTGTATAAAAACATATCATCTTTATCCAGTCTTCATTTGATGGGCATTTGGGTTGTTTCCAGGATTTAGCTATGACAAATTGCACTGCTATAAACATGGGTGCACATATATCCCTATGGTATGAGGTTTTCAGTTCTTGTGGAAAAATACTCAGGAGGAGAATAGCTGAGTATTGAATGGGACCTCCAATCTTAGCTTTTGGAGGAATCTCTGATCAGTTTTTGGATTCATGATATTTTTATTTATTTATTCGGCCGTCATTTAGTTATTCTGTTAGGTAGGTAGTTTGTTAGTACTGGGGATCGAACTCAGGGTGTTGTGCTTGCCATGCAGAAACTTAAGCTGCTGAGCTATCTCTCCAGCCTTTGGAGGAATCTTGACACTGTTTGCCATAGTGGCTGTAGTGCAGAAGTATTCCTTTTTCCCCACAGCCTCTCCAACATTTGTTATTGACTGACTTCTTGATATTAGCCATTCTTTCTGGGGTGAGATGAAATCTCAGTGGTGTTTTAATTTGCATTTCTCAGATGACCAGTAATGTTGAACATTTTTTCATATATTTACTTGCCATTGGTATTTCTTCCTCTGAGAAGTGTATATTCATCTCAGATGCCCATTTTTGGGTTGGGCAAACAAGCAGTTTTTTAAATTATCCTGTAACTCATTGTCCTAATTGAATTACTATTGACATTTTGGTGTCTGTCTTCCCAATGCTTACTTTCTGTGACAAAATACACAAAGATTAGGGCGGGCCAAATAGCTCAGCGGGGTGGGGGGGGTTCAATCCCTGGGCATGCTGAGATGGCGATTGAGCCTGGGCATGATGGCACACACCTGTAATCTCAGTACTTGGGAGGCTGTAAACAGGAGAATCACTACAAGTCCAATCTAGTAGTGAGACCCTGAACACCCTGTAGACCCTTCCCTAAAATACAAAAACAAACAAAAAAACGCCACAAAGATTATATTTAACAAATTAAGGGGCCAGGGAAGTAGCTCAGAGGCACAGTGCCTGCCTGACAAGCATAAAGTCCTGAGTTCAATTTCCAAAAGAATAGAACAAATTAGGATCATATATCTTAGTATTTTTAGTCTTGTTTATTTGTGTATTTGTGCCATATTTCCTTTTTTGGAGGCAGGGCTTGAACTATGCAGTTCACTGACCTTTAACTTACTATGTATCCCAGACTAGTGTCAAACTGATGCTGATCCTCCTGCTTCAGCCTCCCAAATGCTGGGATTACAGGGTTGTGCCAGCAGGCACAGCCATATTTCCATATCAAACTCAGTTATGTGTTTTTAAGCATTGTTTGTTTTCCATTAATCACAAAATATCTTTTCTTAGCAAAATCGTGTGGTTGGGGCAATGCAGCTCTACTCTGTGGAGAGGAAGGTCTCACAGCCCATAGAAGGCCATGCTGCTGCCTTTGCAGAGTTCAAGATGGAGGAGAATGCCAAGCCTTCCACCCTTTTCTGCTTTGCTGTCCGCAGTCCTACAGGAGGCAAGGTAGGGTCCACTTCACTTAGTCTTCCAAGAAATGGAAGAAGGATTCAGTGTCATGCGTGCAGCTGGGGTTGCAGCATGGCCTTCCAGTGCCTATGAAAACAAGAGTTCCTATGCTGTGTAGTACTCCTTTGCACATGCCAGAGGTTTGGTAGCAACCTTGGTATAAAGTTAGTAAGCAAAAGTCAACTACTGTTTGCTTTCCCTGTAAATCCTCTTACACTGCACTGAGATGAGCAATGAAAAAAAGTAAGGCCCAATTTCTGCTCTCAGGAATCAGCCTCATGGAAGAGATGGTTCTGAGATCATGATGTGGTACCCTCTTTGCTCTGAGGCATGGCCTCTACACCACCCAAGGCGTGGTTTTTCTATTGTGGTGGTAGGTGGGAGTAGGGCAAGTCTCAGAAAAGCTGCAGGAAGACAAAGCTGTTCCTGAGAGTTAGTTGACTCTTAGTAAGGTTGGGGGCTGCACAGCCCCTTTTCGGCAGGACTGCCATGGACAGTAGTGTGGAAGTATGAGAACTTCTGATGTTGGAGAGTCATAGCGTTCTGCTGAGATTTCATCAGACACTTGAGAGTTTCCTTATTGCTGACCTTTTCACAAGCAGATACCAATGCAAAATCATGCCTTTCTACTGCTTTCTGAGATCCCTGGCTTCTGTTCTCATGCTTCCACTTTTGTTGGTAGTGTCACTGTCCTTAACTCTTAAGAAATCTAAATCTTTCGTCTTTTCTGCTGTCACTGTCTGACCTTTAGCAGGGCCTGTATGTCTTACATATGACTAAGTCCTTAAGAACGGCCTGATTTTCCAGTGGCTATGTAGGTATGGATGTGCTGCTCTCTAAACATCTTCATGTTCTGAAATACCATTCAGGAAAGAACAAAAAGTGTTGCAGAAAGATTGCCACAAGTTCAAGGCTAGTCTGGGCCACAAGTGCATTCACCCACCAACCTGAACTACATAGCAAGACTCTTTCTCATAAAAAGAAAAAAAGAAAGAAAGAAGAATAAATAAGCATCGAGGCACCTCTTAGGAGGTGGAAACTGCCACTTACACATTGCATCACTGACTCCCCTTGTCCAAGATCTGTGATTCTTTCAAATCCACTGAAAGTTCTGGAACTTTGTTCAAGATTATGTTCTCAGGCCTTCTCCACTCGTTCTTACCAAGAGGCCTCACCAGTTTTTTCCTAAACTACCTTTTATCTTAAAGTAGTGATGGTGGGCCATTTAGAGAACGAGTGCCCAAACTATAACCAAAACCCCACTTTTTTTTTTTTTTAGTTAAGGTCTTACTATGTAGCTCAGGCTGCCCTTGAATTTACTATGTAGCCCAGGCTGGCCTCAAACTCACAGCGATGCTCCTACCTTAGCTTCCCAAGTGCTGGGATTACAGGCGTGTGCTGTACCAGGCAAAACTTACTTATTTAATCACTAAGTGCCAACATTGCGATTAAACCTGAATACTGAAGTCTTAGTTTAGGGAAAAAAAAAAAAAAAGCAAATGCATTAACATCATTTGTCTTAAAAGAAAAACACAATAACAGCTTTCAGTGATGCAAACAGCTTTATTGAAAGGTAAAAGTTTGCAATTAGCATGCTTTTGTGTGCTGTTATCAGATGCTTATCTGCTGGGGCACGCTGAGGCAGCAACAGAGAAGGGGTCTGTAAGCCTGCTGCAGCATGAGTGCCATAGGTTCACCACTATCTTAAACTATCCATCCATGTGTAACAAGTTTTCATGTCCCATGTGACCCACAGTAACCCCAGTGTGATGCCATGTCAGCCTCCCCTCCTCGCCCATTTTGCAGTTATATCATGTTTATAGTCCACCTCTACTCATGACTTTTTCTGAAATGTTGTTCAATCACACACACACACACACACACACACACACACACACACACACACAGTTTTTTTTTCTTTTGGTCAAAGTTATGAGGAAGGCACCTTTGTAAACCAGGAACTTACAGCTGTTCTGATAAAAGTAGGCAGGGTCCTCTCATCCTCAGTTATTCCTCAGCATTCTACAGAGATTCTTATATTCCCCAGCATAACCTCGAAGCACTCAGGCTTGTGTCACGGTTAGTCAGACTGTCTAATGAGTTTGACAACCAGTGAAGAGTCTTGTTAACTGAGTGGTTCTTGGTTAACCTGAGCTGTATCTGGGAGATGAGAGAACAGAGTTGGAATAGGAATAGGCTCCAACTGATACCTTCGTTTCTATAGAATCAGTATCAGAGCTCAGAGACTGTGATATGAACTCAGCCAGCCTCCTGGAGCTGAATGTTCTCAGGTTTCCCAGCATTGGTTCTTTCTGTTTTATCTGGTTTATAGAGAAGTTGGTAAATAATCACAAACATCTCAGAAAAGGGATTGTCTTATTTTGTTGATGGTTGTGGTGTGGGGTGTGTGTGTATATTTAAAACAGTCCCGTGGGGCCCGGGAGATGGCTCAGTGGAATAAGTGCTTCCCTGGCAAGCGCAAGGGCCTGAGTTCAATCCCCGGTTCCGAAAAAAAAAACAAAACAAAAACAACAGTACCTTGCTCTGTCATCTTGGGCAGACTTACACTCCTTAAATTGTCTAGGCTGACCAGGATCCTCCTGCCTCATCCTCCCAAGTGCTGATACTACAGGTGTGAGCCAACACTCCCAGTTTGTTTTATTTGAATGTAAGTTTAGTGTTTGTCATATAGAGCTTAGAATTGAGGCTGCTCCACTCAACCATCACACTGTGGTTAGCACCTGTCTGCCACAGGACAATGAACTTGGATTGATCTAAAACCTCTCTTCTAGTTGCACATAATCGAAGTTGGACAGCCTGCAGCAGGAAACCAGCCTTTTGTAAAGAAAGCTGTGGATGTGTTTTTTCCTCCAGAAGCACAGACTGATTTTCCAGTGGCTATGCAGGTATGCGTATACTGCTCTCTGAATGTCTTCATGCTCTAAAATATCTATCATGAAAGGGTTGGGGATACAACTCAGTGGCACAGTACCTGCTTGGCAAGCGTGAAGTCCTGAGTTCAATTCCTGATACAAAAAAAACTTTTATAAATCAAATCTAAAATAAAATAAAATTCATATTGATGACCTGAAAAAAAATAAATCAAATCAAATCAAATCAATTATGGCACCTTCTTAGGTACTTGAGGCTGCCACCTAGACTTTGCCTCATTGTCTCCCTCCATTAAAGATCTGTGATTCATACAAGCCCACTTAGAGGCCTGGGACTTTGTGCAAGATTAGAAACAATCTTGCTTGTATAAGGGATTGCATGGGGCAAAGCATCATGAGACTCTTCCAGCTCAGGCACCACAAGACCTAGACTTTTTCCTTTTAATATAAAAAGGTACCTGATCTCTGTGGTACAAGAATATATAAAGAAGGAAACAGTTCTCTGTAGCCAACCAGTTGGACTATACAGTACATCAAAGTGTTCACCACTTGTTATATAAAAATTTAGATATAAGCCTTTTCTGATCAAAATTAAGATTTTACTATAAAAAGCAGGAGGATCAGCATCAGTTTGACACTAGTCTGGGATACATAGTAAGTTAAAGGTCAGCTGACTGGCCAGCTGTGGTGATGCACACCTGTAACCCCAGCACTTAGGAGCCTGAGGCAGGAGGATCGCTGCAAGTTCAGAACCTTGCACTGGCCAGGCAGACACTTAAGCTGCTAAGCTATATCCCTGGGCCCCTTTACTATTTTTCTGAGTACATTGTCAACATTTCCAGAGGTATTTTATTCTTGTAAACATTGTGGGAAATAAGCAGGGTTTTTTTAAAGGTACCCTATAATTGGAGAATGTTGTTTTCAAATATCTGACTATAATTACACTAATTCTTATAATCTAGATTTCTGTTAGCAATTATCTGATTGAACAATGTTAATTTTTTTACTGAGGTAAAATTAGCTTTTTTTGTTTTATAAAAGAAATGTTGTGTATCAGTTTCCAACATATCAATAAATTTAGCAGCAGAGTTAAATATCTAATAAAATCCTACCATGGATTGATAATTGTAACTCCTTTCAAAGTAACTTCTTATGTCTATATTTATGGAGATATACAGAAATAGACTCCTATAAAAATGGCTGAACACTATCTTTGCTGCTTTATGACTGTCAGCAATGTCACAGAGAGTTTAAGTCAATAAAATATCACATTTATTGTTATTTTATTGCCTGTATCATATGTTTTGTGGTGTACTATAACTCAAACCATCCCATTAATGGACTTTTACTTTTATAGTAAACACTTCAAGGAATATTGTGGTCTGTACATCTTTGTGCATCAGCCAAAAGTACAAATATAAATTTCTGGATAGAAAACTGGGCCAGGAGGGCAGGCGAAATAGCTCACCAGACTGAGTACCTGCTTAGGCAAAGGCAGGGACCTGGGTTTGACCCCTGACACCACATGCCTTACTGTCCCCGCCCCTGGGTGCTCTGAGGGTGGGCATGGTGGTACATGCCTGTAATCCCAGTGCTTGGGAGGCTGAAAACAGGAGAATCACTATGAGTCTGTGTAGTGAGACCCTGTAGACCCTATACTAAGTACATTTTTTAAAAAATAGTGAAAACAATATTTGAGATCTTTATCTAGAATTTTCTGCTTGCTTAAAAGAGTTTGGTAAGAAACTAGGAAAAAGTCTAATGGTAGTACATGCCTGTAATCCCAGTGTTTCAAAGACTAAACCAGAATTACCTGGAGTTTGAGGCCAGCTGATCCATGTAGTAAGTTCAAGGCCAGCCACCCTGTCTTCAAAAGAAAAAAAATTGGGAAAGGATGTCTCTCCCTGAAAGATGTGAAAAATAAGCCAATTTTCTCAGACTTTTGAGGGTGATTGGGCATAGTATTTGCTTTAACACTAGGTCTATAACAGGAAATGCCCCTTTCCACATGATGGATCCTGCCAGCTTAAACCACCAATTTACTTCAGTTCCTGTTACTTAATTAAGTTTCTGGTTCCCAGAAAAGGCTGGACTTTGACTTCTGTAAGAACCAATCCCCAAACAACGAGCTGCTCTGATTCTGTACTTTTATTTCTACAACCCCAGAAAAACCTTGCTCCCTGAGTTGTGGCGACCCAACTTCTTTAGAAATGATCCCAGTCAGGTCCACCAGCATAATAAAGCTGATTCTTGCCTCCAAACCTCATAGCTACTCAGTTCTTGGTCAGAATTTTGCCGTTACATGTTACAGTGTGGGATAGGACTTGGAATCCACATATCAGAGAAGCATTGCTCCCACAGACAATCTTGACCTGAGAGATTCAAGAATCCTTTTCATCATTTGGCTGGCTTCTCTATTTTTTTCTGTCCTGTCATACAGATTGGAGCTAATCATGGTGTTATCTACTTAATCACAAAGTATGGCTACCTTCATATGTATGACCTAGAGTTTGGTGTGTGCATCTACATGAACCGTATCAGTGCTGACACAATCTTTGTAACTGCTCCCCATGAACCTACCTCTGGGATTATTGGTGTGAACAAAACAGGACAGGTATGTAACTCCGAGGTTTCCTTTAGCACCATTTGTATTCACTGAGGACTGCAGCTTAAACTTTCCTCTACCTCCAGGAAAGTGACCAAGGAGAGTTAGCTCCTGTTATTAAAATTATATCTGGGTCGCCTTTTTCCTTCATATCATTACTTTTCCTCTTTACCCAGCACAATTTTTAAAACATAATTGATTCTGAGAAGGAAGCAAGCAGCTCCTTCCTACAGGTAGTGTCTGCTAGTGAAGCCACAGTTCTGAAAGAGCATGCACAGCTTTATGCCATGCACTCCTTGACTGGAAAAAGTAGGAAAAGTAGATACTATGTTATCAAAGTTACCTTTCTCAACCAAAGTTGAAAAGAAAAACTACACATTAGTAAGAAAACTAATGAGAACTGGGTAAAGTGGCACATACCTATAATCCCAACACTTTGGAGCCTGAGGCTGGAGTATTGCCACAAGTCTGAGGCTAGCCTGAGCTATATTACTTCAAGGCCAGCCTGAATTACATAGTAAGACCCTGTCTCCAAAGAAAAGTGGGGGAGGAATGTGTCTGTTATAACTAGATGAATCATTTTAGTATTCTCACCATATCACTGCGATCAGTGTCCATATGACTACATTTTTCTCACATGATTAGTCTATTCAACAACTGTATTTCACTCTCTGAAGTAATTCCACTTTAGGCTTCTGGCTTCTGTGTATCCTTTCACTGCCAAGCCCACATCACAGGCATGTGCCACACAATCTGGGAGATTTGCTAAGACTGCAGTACTGTGAGGGATGGTGGAAGACTATGTGTGTCTGTGAGTGGAGCCCATCTCACTTGATCCTTACAGGTGCTGTCAGTTTGTGTTGAAGAAAAGAACATTGTGAACTATACAATCGGTGTGCTTCAGAATCCAGACCTGGGTTTGCGCTTGGCTCTTCGTAGTAACCTGCCTGGGGCAGAAGAATTGTTTGTGAGGAAATTCAGTACTCTATTTGCACAGGGTAACTATGCTGAAGCTGCCAAAGTAGCGGCATCTGCACCACAGGTAATGATATTTGAATACTGTATGCCATTCTGGAGATTTAGGAAGCAACCTAGATAGTGAAATAAATCATAAAAGCATTTCACTACTGATTTTAGAGTATATTAATGTGCTTTCTTCCTTTCAGTTCCAATTTTTGTAGCAATGCAGAATCATAATAAAAAGAAACAAAGAGCACAACCTTGCTGCACTAATATATTCTCTTCAGTGTCCCTTTTTTTAAAAATCTGTATGGATGCATATTTTGTACCCAGCATCTTAGTTTACATACAGGTTTGCCTTTGGGTGACTCAAAATTTCTACTATTACTGCCTAATACAGTTACATACATAACTTTAATATATTAAGTGATTGTATCTGCTTTAGCTACAGTTCTAGCATGGATTTCTCCACATTTCTAGAGAATAACAGTTCTGCCTCTGGCTTTTTCTTTGGTTTAATTCATTAGGATAAATCAGTCTACTCCTAAGTAAAGACTTTCAAATTGCTTTTTAATTTTTTAGTTTATTAGTGCATGTGTACAGTACATAACGTTTACACTCCTTGTGGAATGCTGGTATATGTACATAACACATCTTACTTCATTTTCTCATTTAGCATCCCTGTCTTCCCTATCCCTCCATCTCTTGGTGCTCGTCCCCTTTGAGAATATTCAGTCTCCCTCCTGGGTTTCTCATATAAGAGAAACAGTACAATGTTTGATAAAGTTTGTGTGTCTAATTTAGTTCACCTAACATTATAGTTCAAGTTACTTCTCTTTGAAATAATTATTTTTGTCCTTCAATTGATGGATTTTTTTTTCCTTTGGTACCAGAGATCGAACTCAGGACTTTGTGCTTTCCAGGCAGACATTGATGCTGCTGAGCTATCTCCCTGGCCCCTCAATTGATGGTTTTAAACAAACCTTTTTTATTTTTCTTAAGAGTCTTGCTATGTAGTTCAGGCTAGCCTTGAAGTCACTATGTAGTCCAGGCTTGTGGAAGTCCTTCTGCCTCAGCCTCTTGAGTAGTGGAGCAATAAGCATGTGCTGCCACACCAAACTGAACAAACCACTTCTAATGTTCATTCAGGACTTTGAATACTTTGAATTATAATGTAATGGTGAAAAATATATAATGCTAATAGAACTTCACTACTACAAGACCAAGTTAGATGACTCTTACTACAGCAAGCTAGGGGAGAAATAAGAGGTGAAATGTAAAGTCATCATAAGAGGTAGACCTATGATGATGTTTATTGATGGGCTTGAAAGCATTTAATTTGGTAAAGGACTTTTTGTCCCTATCAAATCAATGTAGAACTCCATTGGCAGATTCTTTTAAATCAAGCAAATTAAGTAGAAGGATGCCCTGTTATAACAGCAGAAAATACCTGCATTTCTGTTTCTTTTCAGGGAATTCTGCGTACCAGTGACACAGTCCAGAAGTTCCAGAGTGTACCTGCCCAACCAGGCCAGCCATCTCCTTTGCTCCAGTACTTTGGAATCCTGCTTGACCAGGGTCAGCTCAATAAACTTGAATCCTTAGAGCTTTGCCGGCCGGTTCTTCAGCAGGGACGCAAGCAACTCTTAGAAAAGTGGTTAAAAGAAGATAAGGTATGAGGCAGGAGGATTGGTTATGAGTTCAAGGCTAGCCTGGGCTTCATAGTAAATTGAAGGCCAGCCTGAACTATGTAGTGAGACCTGTCTCAAAAAAACAAAACAAAATAGCCAGGTGTGGTAGCACACACCTGTAATTCCAGTGCTCAGGAGGTGGAAACATGAGGATCACAGCAAGTTCAAGACCAGCCTGGGCTACATAGTGAGTATAAGGCCAACTTGAACTGCATCTAAAGACCCTGTCTCAAAAAGAAAAAAAAAAGAGAGAAAAGGTAAAATGACTGTGAAATTGCAGTCCCCATCAAAGAATGAAAACTAGGTCATAAGCACAGTACTGTTTGTGTTGTAACTGCCCCTCTTCCTTTGCCATGCACAGCTGGAGTGTTCAGAGGAACTGGGAGATTTGGTCAAAACTTCTGACCCTATGCTTGCTCTAAGTGTGTACCTTCGAGCAAATGTGCCAAGCAAAGTTATCCAGTGTTTTGCAGAAACAGGCCAATTCCAGAAAATCATGCTGTATGCCAAAAAGGTAATGAATGTTTAAGTGTTGGTGTTGGATTGTGGGTGAGCAGTTGACATATATGAAGTTTATAAAATACTTTCTATGTAAGTATTTTGGTGCACAAGAGTTGTCAGTGCTGAAGACCAGGCACCAGTTGGCTAAGAAAAAGTCTACAACGTCCTTGTCAGGGAGCCAGTGTTAGGTCTGCTTAGAGATAACCAATCAGCTGGAGATTGAGTCATGTTTGCAGCTGGGGTAATGTTTGCCTGGTACTAAACTGAGACCCTGTGCTCCATCCCTCAAATGGAGATGGAGTTGAGAGCTAAAAAAATACAGTTGGCTAATACATGAAAAAATATTCAACATTACTGGCCATTTGAGAAATGCAGATTAAAACAATGTTAAGATTCTGTCGAGCCGGGGAGATGGCTCAGTAGAATAAGCACTTCCTTGGCAAGCACAAGAGCAAGAGCCTGAGTTCAATCCCTGGTTCTGCAAAAAAAAAAAAAAAAAAAAAAAAAAAAAAAGATTCTGTCTTACCCCAGAAAGAATAGCTACTATCAACAAGTCAACCAATAATGCTGGCAAGGGGAAACAAGAGACCTTCTTCATTGTTGTTTGGAGTGTCAGCTGATACAATCACTATGAAAATCATTATGGAGATTCCTCAAAAAACTAAAAAAAAAAAATTCCATTTGACCCAGCTATGCCACTTTATGTATTTTCTCAAAAGAGTTAAAAACTTTATACCATAGTGATATATCCATACCCATGTTAATAGCAATCATGATAGCTAAAACTTAGAAACAGCCTATATGCCCATCAACAGATGCATGGTAAAAGAGAATGTGGTATACTGGAGTACTGCTGTACTATAAAGATAGATAAGGGCCAGGAAGATAGCTCAGTGGAATAAGTGCTTGCCTGGCAAGTGTAAGGACCTCAGTTCAATCCCTGATAACCACCCAAAAAAAAAAAAGAAAAAGAAAAAAACACAGTCCCTGTCCTGAAGACAGATAATTTTAAGGCTTTTGTAGAAAAATGAATGCACCTTGAGACCATGATGTTAAGTAATGAAGTAAATCAGACACACAAGCTTAACTATCACGTGATTTCCCCTATATGAAAAGTTAACATATAAATGAGGTATGAAATAACAAGACAGAGACAACCCGGGGCCCGCCAGATCCTGAATAGACCCAGAGCGCAGGCCCAATGAGTGAGTGAGACCACCTGGGGCCCATGGATCCTCATTCGATCCAGAGTGCAGGCCTAGTGCAGAACCCTTCAGCAGAATTCGCTGCAAAAAGGATTGAGACAAGACCCACGCAGCTGATTCAGGAGCAGAACATCTTGCCAGAGAGACACAAAGGGTTCAACTCCAAGGGGTGCAGGAGAAAGATGTGGAGCACAGCAGCCAGATCCAAACAACACCCACCTGGAGGAATCTGAACTTCGTAGATCCAGACCTGGTGCTAAGGTAATAACTCTATCTAAGCTCTACACCAAAGGTCAGAAGACAGTGGTATACAAAATGACA